CTTTGAAGTTTTGTCGGTCATAGTGTTTTCAAACTCTGTCGGTCATGGTGTCAGTGTTTGAATAAGTTGAGTGATTTCTGAAGTCTGTTCAAATAAAATGAACTTCCTTTTATCTAGTGTTTCTTTGTGCCTATGAATGAATGGTTTGTAGAGAACAGGTTGCACCAATCGTTTGTTAAGATGTGCAGGTGAATTATGGGATCAGCACATTAGAGCAAATGACATGCTTAGGGGGAGAATGTTGAGAGAAGGAAGTTGCAGAATGCATCACCTCTCGAAGGATGAAGAGAAAAATAAGGAAAGCTGGCCAGCTGTGCAGAACATGATCAAGTATAAAGGGAAAGAATAAATTACTTGCATTCATCAGGCTGATTCATCCTCAACGGCTCTCAACTCCATAGCAGTATATAGTTTGAATGAGAGATCAGTAGAAGCCAAGTTTTTCCAAAGAGATTCAACAAAAAAGAGTTCTAAGAGAGCTGTAGCCTTTTGTGTGAAATCGTTGTAGCCAGTCAGGGAGATTAGCGAGAAAAACTAGTGTGTTTGAACAAGGAGTTTGAATCACCAGATGAAAGGTAATTAGTCGATCAACAGGGAGCTGCATCTGGATTCACCAAGTCTATAAGAGGAACTCAATCATAGTGATTAAGTAGGAGATCTCAATAAGAGAGTCTCCTACCGTGGATTAGTCGGTGTTAGGTTCATTAATCACCTAGCACCGGATACCACGTAAAAATACTGTGTCTGTGTCCAATTGTGTTTTGATTCGTTGCTTTATAGTTTTCCAGTTTTTCTCTTGTGTTCTTCGTTTGGTTTTTGGTTAGCTCTTGTGCAGAGCAGGTTAATCGAGTTTGCTTGATAAGAGGAGAAGGAAATCTAGTTCATAAAACGCTGCGTGCCAAATAGAGAAGCAGGCCCAGATCAGAGTTTACAATTAATAAAACAAGCTCGGCCCACATTAAATCTCAGATTCACTGTCGTTTGGCAAACACAAAGGGGAAGTGACTTGGTCCCCTTCATCGATTCATTTTCATCTTTCCTCCCATTCTTCTCACTTGTTCTTGTCGAGGTCGATTTAGGGTTATAGAGGGTCAGGAGTGATAAGAAATAGAGGGAATCTACGCCGGAGTCTCGCGCTCGACTCAACCTACATGTGGTGGCTGGGTTTTGCTTATTCTACTCTCTAATTGAGCTCCACACGGCAAGGAAACCGAGATATACTATACACAAGGCACCGAATGAGAAATTTTACAATGCTATATAGTATTGGTGCTATAGGATTTTGCCTTTATGGTACAACTTAAAATTGTACGTTTATGTTATGGTACAACTTCATATTGTACCTATACTTTTTGTACAAATTTTTTTATGGTACAACTTGAACTTGTACCTTTATGTGATGGTACAACTTCAAGTTGTAAAGTTGTACCATAACATAATGGTAAAAATTGCTTTATGGTACAACCTAAACTTATACATTTAATGTTATGGTACAACTTTAAACTGTACATTAAAGCACCAATACTATATAGCATAGTAGAAGTGCTCGGCACCGAATAATGTCAATGCTTTTGCTTTGGTGATGATTCGTTTTTATGTTTCATTGGGTAGAGACGTAACAAGTTTTACATGATCACAAACACAACTAATCCAATTATCTGTCTAATTAAGCTGCAAAAAATTGATTAAGTCATTCATTCATCAAACTAACTAACTAACTAACTAAATTTGCCGCCTTTCTCTCTTAATTAGTATTTTTTTATAAACTTTACGAGAGGGACAGGGTCCTAATTAAATACTGAGTATTCGACTTAAACACCGCAGCCTGCTTCCTCCATGGCAAACTGCACAGTAATTATGGTGTTGTTATTTTAATTAAACACTGGTTAATTATTGGTAGTCCAATTCCCAGGACAGACCTTTGTCCTCATTCGCTGAAGGCAATTTGGCTTTGGGTTACTTTTTTTCACGAATTCCACTCATCATCACATGGGGGGAGGTAAATCACCACTCATGGGGCCGACACAAGACAGGCAGCAGCATAATGGCTTATGATCATCATGTTTGGATTTTATCTCATCATGGAAATTTCTACCCCAACAGGATCAGAATGATGGTGGCATCATTTAGGTTTGGGCTGGTAAATGACATGCCGTTTTGCGTTATTGAATAAATATCGTGACAAATTTACAAATAAAATACTTAAGTCGTTATGCGTTCATCTAACGATTGTAGAACACCCATGACACGATTCAACGGCTAAGCGCCTTGTGAATATGTTCTTTTTATCATAGACACTCGCTATGAACACTATATAATCGGGTTAGTAATCCATGGGAAAGTCCAATCAGAAGTAAATGGGCGCTTGACTTTTGGAGTTGCAAACATTAATTACATGGGGAAGAATCGTACGTTACCACTTTGTCTCTCCCAGTCACTCCCTGTTCTTCACGTTCCCCTGAAAACCACAGTCAGAAATATAGAAACAAGGTTTTCAGGTCCCTTCAATGGCACAGACAAACATGTGATGCACGAAGAGCTAGCTCTGTAATTACAGAAATTACAGCTGATGCCTTTTCTTCGTTTCCTTGTTTAGAACAAGTTTCCCGGTCAAGGGCAACACGTGCAACCATGCTAGGTACACTCTCTCCCTCTCTCTCTCTAGATTACACTCACACATACACTATACATCCACTTTTTCCTCCAAATACACGACTTAAGAGCTTAATTCTCTTTTATTAGGTTAATTATGAGCTACTCAACCCATAATATAATCCTCATTTCTAAACTTGTGTTATGGTATATGTATATGGGATATATCTTATAATTATGTATGTCTCAACTTGGTTTTGTTTTCTTCTTAATTATAAGTGAGATTTTGAGTAGAGAAAATCCCGAGCAAGAGTTTATTCCTAGTAGTACACACACAGAAAGAAAAAAAAAATTTGAATATGAAATAGCCACTAGGCACCACCCTCTTTGTTGGACTTATTCCTATCAAATACAAAATCACGTATAAACATATGGAGTGAAAGTAATAACAACAGCTAAAAAAAGTACTGAATGAAACTCATGCGAAAGATAACTTATTAAGCAACGATGATCTCCTCGGCCTTTATTTTCTAATTGATACGATAATCTTAATTTTAGTACTGACCTAACAATATCGTGAAAATGATAACATCAATCACAATGTGGACTCGAAACAAACTTGAAGCAACCAAGCATAACCTGAAAATAAAATCAGCATAACAAACTTGATTTTCAATATTTAGTGATTGTATATCGCATAGATAGACATTTACTTCTGATTTTATTTGCTTACATTATCGGTACTACTAGACCAATCATTGAATATTATTATCTTTGCTTCTGTTGACATATCAGACAAAGAAAAACCCCTTGAGGTTATTGACATCCATTTTTATCCAACAGATTAAAGTGCCCAACTAACTTCGGTTCAAACATAAATTACTTAACCTTATCCAAGGAAATAATGGGTCTTGAAAGGAAAAGAATTGATGAACAAACCAATGGACTCATAGTTGAACAATACATCAAATTTTTCCCTCTATTGAAATTTCCTCCCTCGAATTCCCACAATTTGCATCATCATGATCATCATCCTTTGTTTGACATTTTCTCTGTTTTTTTTCTTTCTGTACGAAATTCTATTCTTGTTCTCAAGTGTGCCCATAAATGGCAGCATAGCAATGAGTCTTCTTTCTTCCTACCCTTCCTCCTAATGCTCTCCAAACTCCTCCACCTCCACAAGTCCATAGACTCATAACACTCATTTCCAGTCTTCTCCCATTAAGTTTCTCCCTTGATCTTTCTGCCTATTATGTTTCTCCCTTGATCTTTCTGCCTCTCTCTCCCTATTTTATTTCTTACTCTCAGATAAAACTTCATTCATTAATTAAGTATTTAAGTAGAAATCAAGTTCATGGTTCAAATAAGCATGCATTGCACCACCACCTCCATTGTTCCTCTTACTATCACTACCCCACACCACTCTCCTCATATTTAATCCCTCATCCTTTTGTTATAAAAAAAAAGTCAGTCAAGAAATAAAAGAGAAGGTATCAGCGTCACTAGCAACAGACTTCTCATAACAACGGTCAATTTTATTTTTATTTTTCATGTTTCCTCTGATTTTCACTCAGTGACGGCCTCGCCAAGTTTATTTTTATTTTGTGCTTTCATCTCTTTGTCTAAAATTAGCGTCGTTAACTACTCCTTTTTTTTTTCCGGTGAACCTACTCCTTCATCTTCCGAAGGCGTGATAAGAATACATTAATTTAAGGTTACAATTCAATTAGACACATTCATTTACCTTTAACCTAGCATACAATTTATCATTATTCATATATCTCTTCCCTTCTTATTATTTATTTCATTCAACATTCATGCATCACTTTTTCTTATAAACACAGACCTCGAAGTTCTATCAATAAAATCAAGTTCTCTATCTTCTACAAATCTTCAAAGTAATGGTCATTCAACTTTTAAATTAGAGTTAAAAATATATGTAAATTTTTTACAAAATTAGGGAAATCGAACATTAATCCATAAGACATTAGCCCCCTCCTACTTAATTGTCTTGACTTTCATATTTTAACCTCCTCCCACTCGGACTTTTAACACATACAATTATTTTCCTCTCTTTCCAATTTTTTTTTTTTTTTTTTTAATCTTCTCCATCTATCTAGCTAAACCACTGTGATCACTGATGACTAAGTTGGAAATTTATTCTTCTCCATTTGTATGTACTAAATGGCATGGATGTTGAGGAGTTGGTGGCCACACCTCAACACAACCGTACTGTTTGTAGATACTCAGAAGTGCAAGCAAAGGGAACCCCATTTTTGAACACGTAATCTGAGCACATTGCCAGAAATTCATCACAAAATGATATTATTAGTATTTTTGTTTTTGTAATAGATATTCCCAAAATTAAGAAGTTTCAAATCTCTATAAACTATCACAATAACAATAACAATGTTCAAAGAGCTTAATTAAATAACGGTCGTCTTTTTGCTTTTCTCTCATATTGAAAAGAAGAAATTTTTAATCATGTTACTAATTGGTGATTGACCAAGTACCAAAGCTAGCTCAGATCAGAAAAGAAAAGCAGATCCAAGAAGGCACAACCGGCCACCAGTAGTAACCCCTCTTCTTCAATTTAAAAATTAAAAATCAATCAAAATAAGGCACGCCGTTGTGATCCCCGGCGGTAATGGAGCTGTAACCTGTCGTCGCCGGCGCGTATAGATTTGATGCAGAAGATGACGAGGATGACGATATAACAATCGAAGGAGGAGGCGGCGGCGGGGGTGGGGGCGTCGGCGGAGGAGGACCACCACCACCACCAGTAGCAGAAGAAGAAGCGTTATGACAGCTGTTCGGAGTGGGAGTCGTCGGAGCCGGCGGCGGATGGTGTTGCTGCAGCTGCTGCTGCGGTGCCATTTGGGAGGCGGCAACGGCAGGCGTGGTTGGCGCGGCCGAGATCACCGAAACGACGCCGGATGAAATCAAGGCGGCGTGATTGGAAGAAGAAAGAAGGTTGGTGGTGGCCTCTCTGTACTTGTACTTGAGGATCTCGGCCCTGACGGCGTTGAGCTCAAGCTGTAGGGACTGCATCTGCTGCTGCAGTGCGGAGATTGCTCCCATGCACCCGTACACCGGATCCCTTAGCCTCAGGTTGGCTTCGTAGACCAGGCTATTGGCCGCGTCAGCCCTCTGGGTCTCGGGCACTTCCTAATATTGATCGACAGACTGAAAGATCTGAATGTTGCATGTATGTATTTGTCTAGCTAGGTAACACGGGAAAGAGAATAAGGCTACTTACGAGGAGCATCTTGGAGACGTTGCTGGCGCCGAAGACCTTGTGGACGGCGGCGAACTTGTGGGGCTCGTGAGGGGAGAAGTAAGGGGAGAATGGGCATTCCTCGGCGCATCTTCGGCGGAGGAGCTTGCAGGCGGCGCAGGGAGTGACGGTGTTCAGACTTCCGGTAGGAGAAACCATGTTCATCGCAGCTCCTACTACTCTACTCTACTCTCCTCAGTCCTCCCCGTTAACTATGCATAATTCTTCTATCTCTCTCGATCTTCTTCTCTACATCATCCAAGGGGATATTGGTGAAGGTTTTTGGATTTGGAGGGAGAGGAGGAGTAGGTCAATGCTGATAAAAGAGGGACAAAAATGAAAAGCACAAACTTACAAGCAAAGAAGAAGATGATGGCAGAGGTGTAATTAATTAATTAATTAATTAATTAATTAAGGACAAGTACTGATTGGTTTAACTATTTGCGAATAGGAAAGGACAAGATAAGAGATTGGAAATTAATTAATTAGAAAAGAAAGAATGCCAGCTTTGTCAAGGCTTTTTCATGCTCACGTGTGGTGGGCTTCTTTTTTATTATTGACTTTGCAAACTGCGCCATTTTTCAATTTCTTTTTTTCTTTCAGTGGAATTAGGGATGGCAATGGCTCGGGTTGGGTTGAGTTTTGCCAAATCCGAATTTATGAGTTTATCCGTCAAAAATCCGGGGTAAAATCCATTGGGTTTGGAAAACTCAAACCTAACCCGATGGGAATCAGGAGGTTCATGGGTACCATGGGTTTTGCGGTAAAAAATTTACAATAACAAGTTCATATTAAAAAAAAATTCAAACATCAATTCCCCATATAAATTATCCATACATAAAACACCATTCTAGAAAATTCAAACATAGATCACAATTACACTAAATAAAATCACACTGAATAAGTGTAGTGAGAATTAGATTGGAGGAATTAGAATTAGTGTAGGGTTTGGGCATTTGGGGAGAGTTGGGCGACGAAATAAGTGTGAGCGGCTATCCATGAGTCGGGTACCCCTAAACCCAAACCCAACCCGGTGAATAGTGTACGGGTTTAAACCCAAACTCGGTCTAAAACCAGTCAATGCGGATTTTACCCGCGTTCACCGGATTGGATCGGTTAGAATACCCGTGAGTTCGGGTTTTGTTGCCACCCCTAAGTGGAATGGCTTGATCAGTAGTTTACTACTTGTTTTGAGGGTTATTCTGCAAAAGGGACGGCAGCAGCTGCCCTTCACATTCCACTGTATAGTTTAATCATATGAGATGAGATAGTGGGATTTTCCAGAAATAGCACTGTTTAAAAAAAAATTCCAAAAATAGCACCTAAGTCCGAAAAATTCCAAAAATAGCACCCTTTCCCAAAAACCGCTCCCTACCAGTGCGGTTTAGGCGAAAACCGCCACCCAGGGGCGCGTTTTTTGATGAAAACCGCACCCCTAGGGGGCGGTTTTGCAGATCACACCCCCACCATGCGATCTGCTTTTTTTTTTTTTGAAAAATCCTAACCTAGGTGGAAACTTCAAACGGACGTATCTTTGTGTTCGGGTATCCGATCGTCGCGAATTTTTTTTTTGATTCCGCATAACTTTTTGAGATCTTGCAAGCCGAAGACTGCCGAATGTGGTTTGGTCCCGCCTTCGTCCCAAAAAATGTCGTTTGCTACCCCGAACGAGCTTATTTCCGATTTCGTCAAACTTTGGACAACCATAACTTTGTGCTCCAAAATCCAAACGACATGAATTTTTTTTTATTTCGCATAACTTTTTAAGGACTACAATTTTTACTAGAATGAATTTTCAAAACAGGAATTATTTTGGATATACAGGATTTTGGGAATAGCTTACCTTCCCTTCTCAGCAATCCACGTACATTTTGAAATTATGTCTATGATAAAAGTAGTATTCCTTAAAAATTTATGCAAAATAAAAAAAAATCATGTCGTTTGGATTTTGAAGCACAAAGTTATGGTTGTCCAAAGTTTGACGAAATCGGAAATAAGCTCGTGCGGGGTAGCAAACGACATTTTTTGGGACGAAGGCGAGATCAAACCACCTTCGGCAGTCTTCGGCTTGCAAGATCTCAAAAAGTTATGCAGAATCAAAAAAAAATCGCGACGATCTGATACCCGAACACAAAGATATGTTCGTTTGAAGTTTCCACCTAGGTTAGGATTTTCAAAAAAAAAAAAGCAGATCGCATGGTGGGGGTGCGATATGCAAAACCGCCCCGTAGGGGTTCGGTTTTCATCGAAAAACGTGCCACTGGGTGGCGGCTTTCACCTAAACCGCACTGGTAGGGAGCGGTTTTTGGGAAAGGGTGCTATTTTTGGAATTTTTCGGACTTAGGTGCTATTTTTGGAATTTTTTTTTTAAACAGTGTTATTTCTGGAAAAATCCCTGAGATAGTTGTTTAACGATTGACAGATAATTTGGCTGCAGGCTGCACCTCCTCCGCTCGGCTTCACTTGCCTCCCAACACAGGAGCCACCTTCAAACAGCCTTAGGTTTTGCGAAAAATACTTGTATCGATCCGAGTAGATCACCGTAAAGTATTTACGGACATTGTTCAATGCTGGAGAATTTTTAGCAGCCAGTTAATATCCACTTTCATATATGGATGCGCAAATTCAGAGCTGCTCATTCCCCCCACCACTCTATCACTATTCAAGCGCAATTCTATCTAGAAGCGGAAAGTAGGCAAAATCGTAAAGCGTAGAAGCGGAAGTGTTTTTACGCATACTGTAAAATAACAAAATCTGTTAAGTACGACATATACTATGAAAAATATGAGTGCACATAATTTAGATAAGTTAATAAATACCTGCAATTCATGTCTAAAGTAGAGCAACATATAGCATCTTAATAATAAGTTCATAAACATAAATCTTAACAATATGCAACATCCCCCTCTATGCTAATGAATTTGGGAAGAGCCTAGCTGGTGAATTAGATTATTCTATTGAAGTTGAGGATCGATGCATGCAAATATTTTGTATGTATCTTTTAATCTCATATGTAACATATTGTTGGTGATTTACCTTTAAGATATACTTTTTATAATTAATTTCATGAAAAAACACCCATTTAGTGAACTAAAGGCGTAAAAACGTAAAGCGTTTTCGTGAACTAGAAACGTAAAAGCGTATGCTTTTAAGTTTTAAAGCACAATTTAGTCTGATTTTATACACTAAAGTTTTTATATGGAAACGAAATTGTTTCGGTAATCTAAAAGCGTAAAAACGTAAGATTTCAAGTTTTAAAACGCGATTTTGACTGCATTGCTCTTCTCATATGTAAAGTGTCAATATAAAATTTTCTCTCTTTTTTTACTTTATATATATAGTAATTCGTGGTCAAAAAATAATTGCTTGGAGTTGGAGGCCAAAATTTATACAGTAAACAAACGGAAAAAATTAATTGTATAGTAAGGAAGCAGTTTTCTTGGCACAGTTTCCAGTCATTTTCGTCGTACCAAACAAAGAAAATCTCTCTTCTCTAATTTGTATTTTCTCATATATAATGTAGAGGAGATGCCTGGTAGTAGAGAGGGAGGGAAGGCTACTTAATACTTATCAATCAAAGGTAGGTGCAAGAAAAGGAGGGAAACCTACAAATGGAACGTTTCTAAGCTACTTCCTTTTCTTTTTGAAAATTAAATAATCCAAGAAAACAATTGTGAAAATATAAGAAAATGGAAAACACTTGCTTGGAATATAAGAGAAGAGAAACGCCCGCTATGAGTTCTTGTTTGACCCGTATTTTCAGCCTACTCTTTCGCGTTTCTGTATGTAAATCTAATGTAAATGTATTCATCTCCCCGCTGCAGCTTCCTAGCAGTTCCAGCTGCCACATGCCCCGTTGCCCTGGCCCTGCCCTCTTCTTTCTTCTCTTCAATTTATTGGTGCATATCGATAGTAAGCATTAACCCCCTTTATTATTATCATCATTTCTGTATCATCTTTGGCGAATTCCACATCGATTAACTTTAAGAGAGATTCTTGATTCATAAATAAGAAAGTCAAATTTAATTGAAAAGACATGTTTTGGGATGAAATTAAGGAACTCTTTTGACAACTTTGACGTTAAACGTGCTCAATATGTAACACTGCAAAAATGGATGACATTATGGTAAGTAATCTTGATATGCACCCTAAGAAGAAAACTGTACGGATCTAGATCCTACCGACAATATTTCGTCTGGGAAAATTTCTGAATATTACAATTTTTAGCCATAGTGTTAAAAAATATTATATGCTCACAAATACTTTTGATTTCATCACTACCATATACAAGCTTTTTACAAGTCCACCCCCATCTATTAACCATCAATCTAACGCTTCATTAGCGCCAGATACTATTTTTTACCAAAATAACCTTACTTAATCATAAATAATAAATATTAAAAATTTAAAAAATATTTACGTTCTGAACAACAATAAAAATATGAACATCCTTGAAACACTTGTATTAATAAATAAAAATCTTTTTAAAAATCGCATCAAGTCCCAATCTTACCTAGATTCTCAATGTCTTCAAATGGCAGACCTCTGAATGCTCTTCTGAAACTTCTAAAAACCATGATTTATTGCACGTCATTCCTAATCTTATGCTCATTTTATTTGAGACAGAAATAACTCCATATATCTACAAAATACATTTGTGCATGCAAAGTTCATATATATTTATTATGTTTAGTTTACTCAAAAGGAATTCTGATAATTTATCTTGAAAAGGGTTCTCTTATTACTGGTTCTAAATGGAGTCTCATATCAACTGAACTAGCACACAACCGAGTCATCAATCTACTTATTACTATGTTTTTCACATGAAAAAAACAAGATGCCCCATGCTCTAAATTGGATAAATCCAAAAAAATACCAATAATGTTAATTTTCTTACTACAGGTTGGTCTAATAATAGCTTAGTTTGGCCCTGCTGTAGTTTTTGCAGAAGCAGCTTCTGGCTGAAGCTTTTAGATAAATACCTTTCAATATAAGAGGTTATGTAAAATGACTATAAAGGACTTATAATATAAAATATGAATAAAAATTTAAAAAATAAAAAGTAGTCAAAACAAATCTTGTAAGATTTCTTTTATATTAAATAGTATAATTTTATAATTTATTTTATTTTTAAAATAATATAAATGAAGGAAAATTATATTTTCTGAAATAAAATTAAAATATGGTAAGGATAATCTTGTATTTTCAAAACAGCTTTTCGCAGAAGCTCCAAATATGAGCTTCTGCTTTTATGTTATACAAAAGCGCTTTTCAGCTTTTCAAAAGTCGAGCTTTTGAAGCAG